TTCTTCAATCATCGCCCCTTCCCCCTCCCCGAATTCTCCCTTCCCTCCACGCCTTTTATGGCTCCCGCAGGGGCATTTAAGAGGTACACTTTGTGCCCAAATAAGTTGCCAGTCTCTGACAGACACGATTCTTGCCTGTTTTGCTTGGGAGAATCACATCAACCAACCTCTTGCTCTTGCTGCAAGAATTTCACTAAACAGGCCATCAATCTTCGCCAATAGCATCTAAAGTCCTTTCTGTGGGAGCTGTCCCTCTGGCCACCACCTAAAATGGATGACTCTCAAACCACTCAACTACCTCTTGGCTTCTTCAATCACCAATTCACCATTGTAGTCACCTAAGTCAAAGTCATGCAGATCAACATCTCAATCCACCCCAACACCTAAGACTACATCAAAACCAACCGGTACCAAACCGAAAAAATCGAAGAAGCCTCCCATAGATACTCAACCGTTGGTACAACACCCTTCTATACAAAGTCAACCAACTATTGATCTTGATACCAATTGCAAATCCCTCCGTTGGGCCAACCACCCTCTCCTTTGCTCACCCAATCTCCATCTTGGGCAGATACCTCTGCTGAGGTCACCGTGCTACCCTATTCTGCCATGGTACCGAAGAGATCTAAATCCTCTCTCGAGCCTTCTGTACAAGCAACCAATATACCTGCCCCCTCTCGGGAATGCTCATCATCCATACAGGCTACCACAACTTACTCGGGACCACTGCCCAGTACCACAAACCCTAGAAAACCTCAAAAGAGGAGACCAGACCTTCCCACACAAGCGGTACAGGAAAAGCATGATACCAGACCATTCAAGCACAATCGGGCAAATGTATCCTCCAATTCCTTCACATCACCTTCACCACAATACTTGTTGGACTGATTCCTCTATCTCCTCAGCCCAGCAGGAGTCACCACCTAATCTGGCCACCCCTGACTTTGATGTGGCTGATGCTAATCTCCCTTCCCATTCTGAGGATTTCTCATTTTTCTTTCAGCTAGTACTCCGCATTGCCAAGGCCATGGATCTAGACGTCCAACAACCTACTCAGTCGGAATCCGGCAAGGTATATGAAGATATCAATGAAGATCAGACCCCTCCCCTTCGTATGGGGTTCATTCCATCACTATTAAAGCTTATTAAACAGTCCTGGACCAAACGATCTTCAGTCCCTCAGATCTCTCGAACGGTCAAGAATCTATATAAAACCCATGGTACCAACATTGAATTTCTCTCCAAACATCCCCCTCCTAACTCTGTCATTATAGACGTGACCCAGAGTCGTTCTCATAACCGTTCCAACGCCACCCCAAATAACAAGGAGGGAAGGAAATTGGATATTATTGGTCATAGAGTTTACTCCCTCGTGTCCTTCACTCCGGGCTGCCAACTACCTAGCCATGATAGGAGCACACCACAGGTTCCTTTGGAACAAGGCTCTCCCATCTCTACAGTCCGCCTCTGGAAAATACAAATCTAGAGGTCTCGCCTATCATCAAGAATCCATGGCATTAGCACGTCAGGAGCCAATCACAGTGTGATACATTATCGAAGCAGCCTCCAAACACATGGTTACAGCTGTAGCCTTATGAAGACATGCTTTGCTACGTTCTGCAAGCATTTCAGAAGATTCTAAAATGTGGATTGAGGACTTACCTTTCGAAGGCTCTGGTCTATTTGACAACAAGACAGATAAGATCCTCGATAACCTACAAAAGATGAGAAAAACTACACTTTCCTACACTACTCACCCATGTTATAGACCTCAACGGTTACAGCTGTAGCCTTATGAAGACATGCTTTGCTACGTTCTGCAAGCATTTCAGAAGATTCTAAAATGTGGATTGAGGACTTACCTTTCGAAGGCTCTGGTCTATTTGACAACAAGACAGATAAGATCCTCGATAACCTACAAAAGATGAGAAAAACTACACTTTCCTACACTACTCACCCATGTTATAGACCTCAACGCAACGCGCACACTTTCCTATACTACTCACCCATGTTATAGACCTCAACGCTATCAGTAGCGTCGCCAGTATCCATTCCACCGGTATAGGTCATTCCCAGACAAACAATGCTACTTAACAATGCTCAACATTCATCTTCCTTTCAACCTCGTCAACATAATCAAAGACAACATCCCTGTCAGTCCTTCAGGCGCCCTGATAAGAAACCCAAGCAGAGCCTTTGACCCTTCGGCTCGCCCGCCTCACATCCTGTCCCCCTGCCTCATCACCCGTCTCACGCCACAGTTACAGTCCTGGGCGTGCATCACCACAGACTTGTGGGTGCTATCAATCATTGCCACAGGCTACCCAATAGAATTTCTATCCATACCACCACTTCGGATTGTTCTCACTTCCCCTTCCATTGCTCTCAAATCAGAGATCCATTCTCTTCTTTCAAAAAAGGCCACATCACTCTTTACTCTGAGTACTTCTGACCCAGTTTTTTTCTCTCGGCACGTCCTCATTTCCAAATGAGACAACACCTTGCATCCCATCCTTGACCTTCGGGACCTCAACTATTTCATTGCTCAGAGGCCCTTCTGCATGGCGATGCTGGAACACATCCTTCCCTTGCTTCAAACGGGAGACTGGTTCTCAGTCATCGACCTAAGCGATGTGTACTTTCATATTACTATCAGGCACGACCACAACAAATTCCTTCACTTCTTCCTAGTCACACCACTTACGAATTCAATGCCCTACCGTTTGGCCTCTCCACAGCTCCCAGGGTATTTACAAAGTGCATGGCCCCCATAGCAGCATTTATCCGCACCCTCGGAATCTCTGTATTCCCATACATCAACAACTGGTTACTCGTCACTCAATCACAATCTCAAACTCTCAAAGACACTGCAATCACTCTTTCCCTTCTGGCAGATCTCAGCCTCAAGGTCAATCTTGAGAAGTCAGTGCTGACTCAATCTCAAAGAGTAGATTACCTAGGCGCAGTTCTCGATTCTCACTACGCCAAGAGCTTTCCTCCCTCGAGAACGCACGAACAAGATACACTCTCTTGTTGTTCACTTCCAACCATACACATCTGTTATCACCCATCAAACACAACGGCCTCATGGCTTCCACCACATCCATCATCCAACATGCCAGAATGAAAATACACTAGTTACAGGCATGATACCTGTCCTTATTTGACCCACTTATTGACGCGCCCACTATGCGCCTACAAGTTACCCACGAGCTTGCTTCCCAGATGATTTGGTGGATCATGCCCTCCAATCTTTTCCTCAGTCAACCCTTTGCACCCCTCCAACTGTGAACACAGGTCACAACCAATGCCAGCCCTGTCAGTTGGGGTGCACACTGCAAAGACCTTCAAATACATGCCACATGGTCCTCCTATGAAAATCTCTCCACATCAACAACCTGGAATTACTAGCTATCTTCAAAGCGTTCCGTGCCTTTCTGCCAGCCATTCCAGGCACTGCAGTCCAAGTGACCACAGACAATACAATAGCACTATATCAACAAACAGGGAGGTACACATTCTATACCTCTCCTCTACCTTGCTGTCCAATTCTGGGAATGGTGCCTAGATAACTACATCTTTCCAATGGCAGTCCACATTGCCACGCAAGACAACGTATGGGTGGACTATCTAAGCAAACGAACCTCTCAGATGCAGGACTGGGTCCTTGACCACACCATCTTTTTCCAGCTTTGCAACAGGTGGAGTCAACTAGACATAGATTTGTTCACCACGACAGCCAACACTAAATGCACTGTGTACTTCTCAAGGGCAGGGATCGGCCTGGGATCTCTGGGCAATACCCTCATGGCAAATTGAGCCACCCATCTCCTCTACCTATTTCCTCCAATACCACTACTCCTCCGAACCATCGTTAAGCTGAGACAAGACTGTGCCAATGTGATTCTGATTGGACAAGATGGTTGGACAGTGTCACGCAAGCTACTAACATGAATTTGACCCAATTCTGGGAGGCAGTGGAAGAAAGGAGGGCCTGGCGTGCTCTGGTCCATGGGGTCATCAAGAGTCGGACACAACAACTAAACAACAACAATGTCTTTTAAGAGTGTCATAGATCAAAGCACAAGGTAACAAAAATGTAATTTTTAAAAAATATATTTATATTTAACAGATTTATCACGAACTTTTGCAGATCACAGTGCACTTCCTCAAATGCATGGAGTACAATGATTCCTCAGCATAACATCGAAATACATGAATAGGCTAGTTTTATAACAGTTTGTGTACATTGGACCCTCGACCTATGGAATTAATCCATATTGGAACGGTGGCTGCAGGTTGAAAAGTCCGTAGGTTGAGGGTCCATTTCGCATAGGAATGCACTGAAAACCCAGTAATCTGTAACTGGCCCAAGAAACCTCCCCCCCCAAAAAATTAAAATAATGACACCTTACCTTTCCGAAGCCTTCCAGGGGTCCCCTGCTGCAGCCATCATTGCTGCCTGAGACCTCTGAGGGCTTCACTGCTGCTGCCACAGGCCTCTCAGAAGTCCCCCACCCCCACCAACACAGGCTTTCCCAGGGTGGACTGGGCCTACCAGGGGAGGGCTTCCCCTGGTAGGCCCGGTCTACTTCCCGGGAAAGCCTACCAGGTAGGCCCTGTCCATCCTAGGAAAGCCTGCGTCGGCGGGGGGGGGACCTCCGGAGGCCTTCCCCGCCGCCATGGGAGGCCTCTAGGAGGTCACCACCACCACCGATCATGCTTCGGAGGCACTATCGGCGGCGGCAGGGGACCTCCGAGATGCCTCCCATGGCGGTGGAGAAGCCCTGGAAGGCATCCGGAGGCACGATCGGCAGCCTACGGACTGGAAGGGGGAGGCGGGGAAAGTGCCAAATTTGAATTTGGTGCTTTCCCCACCTCCCCCTTCTAGTCTGTAGGTCGATTCTCCGGCTGCAGGTTGATTGGAAATCTTGCTGCCAGAGAAGCCTGCACCTCGAAAAGTACGCACGTCGAGCCTTTGTGGCCAGAGAAGTCCATACCTGAAAAAGTACGCACATCGAGCCATGCATACGTCGAGGGTCCACTGTATAGCCAAAATAAATTCTAAAAGGATTGCAAAACATAATAGGATTCCGCATAGAAGAAGAGAAAAATACTTTATTGACAGCAGAACTCATTCTTTAACTGCCTAGCAGGCAGATGTCTCTCTTAGGAGACATTTCTCATTAGTTTCTGCAGTGGCAGACATGTTAATTTACTGCAGCAAGGTAGCAAAAGCTCATGGCACTCTTATTACAACAAACAGATTTATGATCACATGAGCTTTTGTTCATACTTAACCCACTTGTTCAGATGTGGAAATGTGTTGCATATTCATGAAAGCTCACACAGTATTATAGTTTGTTAGTCTTAAAAGATACCACATGTTTCTTTATTATATGTTGTTACTTGACTTATTCTTTGGATGTTTATGCTAATTAGCCTGTTGAAAGTTAAGGACCTATGTCAATAATGTAATTGTTATTTTCTGTAATCCATCTCATTCTGATCCCACATCCATGACCATACATGCTGCATAAACTATCTGAAATTCAATTATTGTACTCCACACATCTGAAAATGAGGAGATGTAATTCACAAAAGTTCATGTTAAAATAAGTCTATTATTTGTGAAAGTGCATTAACATAAAAATGACATTTTTAGAATAATGTTTTGTTAGCTACCTCTTTGAAAAATGTATAAGATAATGCCATTGTAGTATTTCTGGGTACTTCACTAATACTGTAATATACTGTAATGGCTTAAGCCTTATTTTCTTGAGCCAATGAATCAGAATAGAACAGTATGCATTGTTGCTCCAGGTGGCGCTATTTAACCATTTTTCAGAAAATAAATGTTTTTTAAAAATTTTAATGACAGACTACGAATATCAGTCTCTCCTGATCTGTTGCCAACTCTTTATAATTGTTTTTCATAAGTGCTCCTTTGGTGCAAGCTGCTTATGGGACTTAAAAACATATGCTTTAGTTTAGGCTTTGAATTGCAGCCTCATCTAAAATATATACTTTAATTTTGGGGTGGGTTACATAACTGTTTGGGGAGTTTACCTATATAAATGGTTTCATAGGCATGGGTACAGATATGAAAAAGCAGGAAGAGGTCATACCAGCTGTGATAATCAGGCCATTCCCTGGCAGGCTTTCAGAAGTTTCTGGCCATGTTGATAAACACAACACAAAAGAAATATAGGCCGAATCAGGATTGTGTAAGTCACAAAATGAACCTTATAAGGTGTGTGAACAATTATTTCCAATCTGTGGACCCCTTCAAATGTGTCAGGGCTCCCTGTGGGGCCATATGGCCCTTGTTGAGAATCGCTGCTCTACAGCGGAGATTCCCACACTGTGGTCTACAGCAGCGGTTCTTAACCTTTGTTACTCGGATGCTTTTGAACTGCAACTCCCAGAAACTCCAGTCAGGACAGTTGGTGGTGAAGGCTTCTGGGAGTTGCTGTCCAAAACTCCTGAGTAACCCAAGGTTAAGAACCAGTGGTCTACAGAACACTAATGTTCTGGAAGCTTAATGCAAACATTCCACAGAATGACTGCAGAACAATAAGGATCACCTGCTTTTAGTAATGCAGTTGATTTCTTTTTTTTGCCCCTGATGATAGAGAGCAATTTTCTTGTCTGGAAAATAAAGTTTGAGAACCACTGCTCTAAGTGATTATATGTTATTTTTTTCTAAAGCTGCTCCAACAGTATGATGTGCCTGAATGTGGTGCTTCCAAATAATATGGGAAGATTAAATGCCAAGACTGCAAGTTCATCCTAGATATTTCCCTTGAGACTTACAATCTTTGTTGGACAATAATCTATATAAATAGTTGCATGGGTATGCATGCAGTTTTCCTAGAAAATCTTGCCTCCCAAAGATTTGGTTTCTTTATCTATTGGAAAATGAGTTTTCCCATGAAGACATTACCTTATATTGCCTAAGGCAGGGATGGGAAATATGTCATTTTTAGGTATTGTTGGATTGCAATTCTCATCAGCTTTGGCATATATCAACAGAGGGATGCAAGATTTACCTGGAAAAGGAGAGATTGCAGGGTAGCATTTACAGGTCCTGAAGCAGGTACTCCAAGCCATCCGTTCCAGGTAGCCATTCCTTGGGAATTACATGGTTTAGGAGACTGGAAAATCACATGAAAGAAAATGTGAGACAGATGCAAGAGAGACAGCTGGAGTCTGAAAACACATGAGTATTGTTTCCCATAGAGCATGGACTTCTGTGGTTATGCAGGCTCAGATATTACTTGGCGTGCCACATGATCTAGGGCAGCCCAACTCCACAGAGGCTTGGAACAAAATCTGGAATCAGGAGCTATTTCAATCAATATTGGCAAGTGTAGGAGAAACCACAGTCAAACTTATATATCACTGGCACTTGACACTGGTAAAACTAGCTCACACAACACACAGTTCTTTGAGCCTGTGTTGGAGAGGGTGTAGTAACTTGGAATCCTTTGCACATATATGATGGTCACGCCCCACAGTTCTAGCTATACATTTATATAAAAAAGAAGGTGTTACTATCTAAAAAAAAATCCCTTAACTTTACTAAGCCTTGTGGCGCAGTGGTTAAACTGCTGTACTGCAGCCAAAACTGTGCTCACGACCTGGGGTTCAGTCCCAGGTAGCGGCTCAAGGTTGACTCAGCCTTCTATCCTTCCGAGGTTGGTAAAATGAGTACCCAGCTTGCTGGGGGAGCAATGTGTGGCCTGCATAATTAACTTGTAAACCGCCCAGAGAGTGCTTGAAGCGCTATGGGGCCGTATATAAGCAGCACGCTTTGCTTTTGCTTTTTTCTAGACAACAACTCTAGGGTGCTGCATAAAGATTTAATTACTAATCTAAATGTTGCTGCACACCAGGAATGAGCAAAGCACTTGGAAGGGAGCTGATAACCTATGTGTGAATAATTGCTATATTATGATCTGTGATTTAGCTATGTCTGAACATTTAACTCAAGAACTCAGGCATGCACAACACATCTTGGACACATATAACTTCAACCCAACCTGTTTGTCCTTTATGATGTTCAACTAATCAAAGACAAATATACAAATCCTCTCAAGACTCATGGGACTATATTGAAGAATATGCTTATATAACTCTTCTTCAGACATTTCTGTTCTCACGCGAAACAATGAAAAACAAGTCCTCACAACCATCATCTTTATAACTATAAAGCAAGCACAAACACGGAAGGAGTTAAAATCTACAGGAATACACATATAATATAAATGGAGTAATACTTTGCTTTCTCTTTCTCTCTCTTCTTCTCTCCCTCATGCAAAGCTCATTGTTATAATTTGATTGTAGAACTGTGTTTTGTATCAGTTTGTTACTATTTCAAATAAACCTGTTTTTAAAAAAGAAATTAAAAAAGAAATTGGCATGCTGCAAGAAACAGCATACCGTCCCACAAGCACTTTGCAGCTTAGTTCAAACAACATTCCAATAAACATTGCTTTTCCTGCAGAAATGTAAACTCAGAATTTAATTATGATGGCTTTGTGACCTTCTTTCTTAGAACAACAAAAAGAAAGTCCCCTTCTTTCCTAAAACAAAAATCGTTCAGACAAAATCAATGACTAACCTGGTCAGAGAGCTGGGTGTTTGGTATGCATTAATTAAAGTTACCCAAAGCTTTTGCCAGGAGAGAAGTCTCATTTAGAATGCTGTGTTTGTTATTTTGTCAGTTCCTGTTACGTACATACTTCATGCTTTTAATATCCTAAAAGCTAAAATGTTCCTAGTCCCAATTTTTTTTAAATTAACCAGTAACAAATGAAGTTTGGCTTAGTCCATCAGGACGTCTTGCTTCTCAACCAGCTGAAATGCCATTGCCCCAGCGACATCTGTGTTGCTTTCTTGGTTAACCTACATTCAAGTGTTTCTATGCCTTAAAGGCCAAGTTGAATCACATATAAGTCTGTATGCTTCCCATAGTGATAATGTATATATATGTACTCAAGAATAAGTTATGCAGAGTTCAATAATATTTACTCCTAGGTAAACATTAATATAGCAGCAATCTTCACAGTACATAGTATAACCCATGTGCCTTGAAAGTTGTCAGAGGAATCAGTGCTGTTTACAGTGGGGTCTCTACTTAAGAACTTAATCTGTATTGGAAGGTGGTTCTCAAGTTGAAAAGTTCTTATGTTGAATCTGCATTTCCCATAGGAACGCATTGAAAACCATTTAATCCGTATCTGCTCTTTTCCGTCCATAGAAACTACAGTGGAACCTCTACTTAAGAACTTAATCCATTTTGGAATGGTGTTCTTAAGTGGAAACGTTCTTAAGTTGAAGCAAAATTTCCCATAGGAATGGACTGAAAACCAATTAATCCGTTCTGGCTGTTTTTTTGTTATGTAGAGGTGTGTTCGTACATTGAAGCATTAGTTCCCATAGGAACTAATGCAAAGCTGGTTAATATGTACTCTACCACTAGGGGGAGAATTTTTTTTAACCTAAGATCACCTAAGGTTAAAAAAAGAGCAGGAAAGTTTTTTTTTCCTGTTCTTATCTTGGATTTCTGTTCTCAAGTAGAAGCAAAATTTAGCAAATGGAGCTGTTCTTAAGTTGGATTGTTCTTAAGTAGAGACGTTCTTAAGTAGAGACCCCACTGTATATAATTCCTTTAAAAATGTCTTTAGCAGCCAGCAACCAGCAAGCAAAAGTATAATTCCTTTAAAAATGTATTTAGCAGCCAGCAACCAGCAAGCAAAAGTTATAAAGTTGTTTTGTACACCTGCAAAAGCAACGGTGTCATTTTCTAAACTCCTTTGTCAAATATAGCTATTGGGATACGAAAATGTTTTGCTCTTCATCCAGACTACAGTTTGGATATTACAGTATCTGCTTATATATAAAAGCATTAGAGAACTCTGTTTCAAGTGATTGAACAGTTGCAGTGAAAAAAAATATTTTGTTCTTCTTCGTGGTCTCTGTGAATGCACACTAATGGGTTAGGTCTGTGCCTGTTTTATGGACTGTTTGGTGAAATTTTTACAGTTTGGGCAAACGGATAGCTGATTATTTTGTTCTTCATGGTCTCTGTGAATGCACACTAATGGGTTAGGTCTGTGCCTGTTTTATGGCCTGTTTGGTGAAATTTTTACAGTTTGGGCAAACGGATAGCTGATGCGCTTCCCTGAGACAGGACAGGCGTCGTGTCCATCAGAAATTGGAATTTTGTTCATGCAGGAGGTGCAAAAAGGAACTGAGGCAATCGCTAGGACCACGTGGGCTACGAGGGAGGCGGTCCTAGCAAATTCATGCAGGAGGTGCACCTTTTGAAAGGGCCCATTGGGACCATAAAAAGGGCGGGAAATAGTAACGGGGGAATAGGGAGGGAAGGAGAGGGGGATAACTATGAAGTAAATAGAATCAAACAGAATCAAATAGTATGAATGATTATCGAAGACAATTAGTGAGGAACAATTAACGAAGAACAATTTACAGTATCTCTTTTTCAGAAAGAACCAATTTGACTGTAGCGAAGCTCTAGAGATGAGACCAGTGCAGCGGCAAAAAGGAACTGAGGCAATCACTAGGACGGGCGGACCACGTGGGCTACGAGGGAGGCGGTCCTAGCAAACTTTTAGCTCTAGAATATTCTGGAGACCTCTGCACAGGCACAGACTTAACCCATTAGTGTGAATTCACTGATGACCACTTGAAGAACCAGAGTTACAGGTAAGTAACCTCTCTTTTCTTGTGATTAATTAATAACTTAAAGAATATTTTACACAGTTGTAACTTGTTATAAAATATCAGCTGGAAGTGTTTCAGACTCAATCTCTGTGTGCACGGAGTTCATGGGGTAGATAACTTGGAGCCCTCCAGATATTTTGGAAGATGACTCCTATAAGCCCCAGCCACTATTACTAGTGATCATGGGTTATGGAAATTATACTAAAAACATCTGAAGGGCATCAGACTCTGTACAATGACAACCAACCACCATAGATGAACAAAAAGTGTACATATTGTTTATAATCTATGTGACACAAGCAAATCATCTTTGATGGTGACCACATTATACTTGGGTTCTTGATTTCAAAGGAAGTAAAAACTGAGTGTGGCTGCATTTGTACATTGGATTTTAGGAAATCCAGTTCTAATCAACTCAGAAACAAGTAAGGCCCCATGGCACATGGTCCTAACAAGTAAAGGATTTCAAGATGGGTGGGAGTTTCTTCAAAAGGAACAAGCAAATCATCTTTGATGGTGACCACATTATACTTGGGTTCTTGATTTCAAAGGAAGTAAAAACTGAGTGTGGCTGCATTTGTACATTGGATTTTAGGAAATCCAGTTCTAATCAACTCAGAAACAAGTAAGGCCCCATGGCACATGGTCCTAACAAGTAAAGGATTTCAAGATGGGTGGGAGTTTCTTCAAAAGGAAATTCTAAAGAATCTATGTGACACAAGCAAATCATCTTTGATGGTGACCACATCATACTTGGGTTCTTGATTTCAAAGGAAGTAAAAACTGATTGTGGCTGCATTTGTACACTGGATTTTAGGAAATCCAGTTCTAATCAACTCAGAAACAAGTAAGGCCCCATGGCACGTGGTCCTAACAAGTAAAGGAGTCCAAGATGGGTGGGAGTTTCTTCAAAAGGAAATTCTAAAGGCACAATTACACTGTCTGGATAGCTCAGTGGTTTAGGAATCTGGTGGTCCTAACAAGTAAAGGAGTCCAAGATGGGTGGGAGTTTCTTCAAAAGGAAATTCTAAAGGCCCAATTACACTGGCTGGATAGCTCAGTGGTTTAGGAATCTGGCTGTGAAGCCTGAGGTTGGGAATTTGATCCCCCACTGTGCCTCCTGGGAGAAGAGCTAGCCTGTGTGGTCATGGGTAAGCTACATTGTCCCAGGATGCCCCCAGAAGAAAGGAATGGTAATCCACTTCTGAGTATTCTCTACTTAGAAAACCTTGGAAATGGTCATCATAAGTTAGAGTTGACTTGATGGCAAATGATGATTCGTAAAAGCACAATTAACAAAATTTTAAAAAAAGGTGGAAAACAATAAAAAAGGACCAACACAGCTTCACAAAAAGCTCAGAGAGGGCCTGAAAACAAAAAAGGACACATTTCAGAAGTGGAAGGGAGGCCAGGCCACAAAGGAAGAGAACAGATAGTAAAGAATTATAGGGATGGTATTGGGAAAGCAAAAGCTGAGAATAAGCTGAGGCCAGCAAGAGATGCTAAAAGCAACAAAAAAGTTCTTCAGGTGCATGTTTAGCAAAAGACAGACATAAAACAGTGGCTCAGCTACTCTTTGGAGATGGAAAAATGATAACAGATGAGAAAGAAAAGGCATAAGGGTTCAATTCCTACTTTAGCTTGGTTTTCTTCAAAAAAAGAGTCTATAGTAAAGAATTATAGGGATGGTATTGGGAAAGCAAAAGCTGAGAATAAGCTGAGGCCAGCAAGAGATGCTAAAAGCAACAAAAAAGTTCTTCAGGTGCATGTTTAGCAAAAGACAGACATAAAACAGTGGCTCAGCTACTCTTTGGAGATGGAAAAATGATAACAGATGAGAAAGAAAAGGCATAAGGGTTCAATTCCTACTTTAGCTTGGTTTTCTTCAAAAAAATAATCTGATCTTCCAGGCAAATGTGAAGTATTTCCTCTTCAGGCAGGCTTTTAAGCAGTAAAATGCCGGTTTTTAACTTATAGGTTTTTTTATGCTTTTATACTTGATTGTTTTAATTTTAATATATGTTTAATTGTTTTTAATTGTGATATTGTTATATTGTTTTAAATTTTTTTATTTTACCTCTTGTGAGTTGTCTTGGGTCCTCTATGGGAAGAAAGGTGGCACATACAAACAAACAAACAAACAAATGCAGGGAGGCATAGTTTCAACTTGAGATTGATAGACCAAATATCAAGGAACACCTAATTTCTTTGAACAATTTAGAATCTCCAGAGGGTGATGGACTGTACCCAATAGTATTGAAGAAGCTGGCTAAAGAACTTTCAGAACTACTGTAAATTGTTTTATTGCAGTCATGGTGGATGGATCAACTGCCAGATGACTGGAGGAGAGATAAGGTCCCTATCTTCAAAAAGGAAGAACCTGTGAACTACAGAACAGTCAGTCCAACATTAATTCTGGGTAAAATTCTGAGGCAGATTATAAAGCAATCAGTCTGTAAGCACCTTAAAAACAATGCAGTCATAACTAGAAGTCAACACTGACTTGTCAAGAACAAGTCCTGCCAGACTAATCTTATTTCAGTTTGATCGAATAATTGGCTTGGTAGACAGTAGGAATGCTGTGGATGTAATAGGTCTTGACTTCAGCAAAGCTTTTGGCAAAGTGCCCCATGACATTCTGATTAGCAAGCTAACTAAATGTGGGCTGGATAGAACAGCTCTCAGGTGGATCCACAATTGGCTACTGAATCATACTCAAAGAATACATTGTCTCCTGGTTCTATATTTAAACTGCCACTCTTCAGTGAACCCTCCTAGACTGCGTATAATTCCTGGAGCCTGCTAGGCATGAAACACATAAGGGAAGAGGAGGATTGAGTAGAGGAAAGAGCTAGACAAGCACCGGTATCAATGAAGGGAAAACTCAGTGTGAAAAAACTAATAGCAGATGAGCGAAGTAAAGAGAAGGAGCAGAGAAGCAATAATACCAGCATAGGGTGGAGAAGTCAGAATAATTGTGTAAGTTAATACTGTATTTCTGCAAACTCCATAATAATTATAAGTTGTGTTCCCTCATAGCTCCAAGATCATAAATAATATATCTCAAACACAGATAGGCATTAAGAATACCCTGAGAGTTGGCATCTTATATTTGTTTTTATAATCAGTTTTAATATTTCTGTAGTTTAAAATACTATTTCAGTCATTGAGAATGAGATGGTGAGAAAGGATTGTGTCTGATCCCACCGGAAAAATTTGCTTTGCTGGGAGCAATCTCCCTTAAAGTGGCCCTTCCATTCCTACAGGAACAGCTCCTGCCCAGCTCCAAAAAAAAGAGTAGCCCTGTTACTGGACCAAAAGGGATAAGGCTTGTTTGCAATCTTCTGTATATTGTCTGATCACCAGAAAAAATGCATGTTCTATTTCTCCATCTGAACACACCCTCAAATGTGTACCACAGCATTATCTGGTTATTTGGTTGCAGTCTCCCATGACTGGGAGAAAACTATTATTCAGAGCGATAACTCATATTAAAAGAAGGAGTTGTATAAGAATGCAAAAAAGCAACTAGAAAAACTGCAGTGGGAGAAACCGAGACTACAAAACTACAGAGCAAGAAAGGGTGCATCCAGAACAGCTGAGAATCCAGAGCAGAACTGTGCAGGACAGGAAGGAAATAAAACAACAATGGCTGGAACCAGGAAAGGAAAATAATATTCTGTATTATCCACAGAGCATGGAAAAATTCCTTTATTGGACTGCAACTTCCAAAATCCAGCAGTCAGTATGTCTCATGGCCATACTAACTCTGATTCTCCTACAATCAGCCTTAGTTTATGGTTCCTTCTAACCATTCATTATGATTGATTTACTGTCAGCTTGTGCCATCCACTTTGATGGAAAAGTGCAACTCTAGCGTCTAGCACTGACAGCAAAGTCGAGCTGCTTCCACTCAATACAGTGGACCCTCAACTTACAGATGGCTCCACTTACAGACTTTTCGAGTTACAGACTTCTCTGGCCGCAAAATTTAGGTTTGACTTGCAGCCGGAGAATCAACCTACAGACCAGGAAAAAAACCCAAAATGGAACAAAAACGGCCAGTTACGGATTAATTAGTTTTCAATGCATTGTAGGTCAATGGAGCCTCAACCTACAGACTTTTCGACCTGCAGCCACTGTTCCAATACGGATTAATTCAGTAAGTCGAGGGTCCACTGTAGTTAATTTGTATTACCTGCAAATAAACCTCACATGCCTATTGGTCCTATAGTCCCTGGCTTCACTCATAACCAAATGGGGACAGACTCAACATTAATACCTCAGAGGTATTATTTAAAAATATCACACTAAAAGAGATTGTTCGAAACAGTGCAAGGCTGGGTCCTTCTGCTGTAGTAAATAAAGACATCACAGCTAAAACGGTTTATTATTTAAAACCTTAAAATATCACACTAAAAGAGATTGTACCAAACAGTGCAAGGCTGGGTCCTTCTGCTGAAGTAAATAAAGACATCACAGCTAAAACGGTGGAAACATGTCTATACTGCTTGCACTTGATTTTCTGCTTAATACTAGTGGTGCTTATATTAAAGACCTTTGTGGCTCGAGAATAGGAGACTGAATGGACTGCTCTGTGTAGAGACCTCTCACATCACTAAAGTTACCTTCAAGGGGTCTTCTTCAGGTTTCAGTGCCTTCATAAATATGCCAGGTTGTGTCAAGAGTAAAAATACCATTTATGGAATATCATGCCAACCCCATGTTTCCAAGTTCTAGTCCAGCATTCTGCTATGCTACCCTGGAAAAGGAATTAAATTGTTCTTATATCAGCTTGATCTTATTGTGATAGACTATTTATTCCATTTCTATACCAGCATTGTTATATGATGACAATTCCAGTGTATTTCTCTCTTAGGCTACCTGTTCTAAGGTAGAAACAGTAACACACCAGAGGGTCCGAATAACCAAAGGGGGAGCAGTAATACAGTCAGGCACATGAGACTTTGGTCTTATTAGACTTGAAAGGAGCTCTTTAGAAGGTGATGTGTATTATTGCAATTCCTCCAAATAGTCTTGAGTCAACCCTGCTGTGTTAGGGACCCTTCAACGTTTCTATTAACTGAGGTCTTAGGCTATCACAATTGTAGTTTCATAGCACCATGGGGCTGTTTCTGGACAGTGGGAAAGCAAAGGAAAAATTACTGTTTTCCGTTCCTTCCTCTTTGGAATGGGTTCTGTTATTCTTGGAAGGTTTCTATTTTCTAAGTTGCTTTTTTAAAAGCCTTCATCAGATTATTTAAAATTCTAAAAGAAATACCATTTATTTTAATAATGTTAAAAAATACTAAACTGCGAACTGAGATTAAGATTAAAATGTCATAAAATCAAATAAGCAAGATAGCACAGCAATGGAACAAACTGTAAGGCAGGCCCACATTTTGCTGCCTGAAGTAGAGTGACAAATGACACCTCTCTCCACCAACCCGCCTATCCTTACACTTAAAACCAGTTGAACTATTTTGGACCATCAGATTGAAAAACGAGAGCTATGCCGTCTTTTAATGAAAGCGGAAATCTGCTTCTTCAGGTGGTCTCCTCATCTTACTCCGCCAAAAGGCAGGGCCAAGCCTGACAAGCCCTTACATGTGGAGTATTACTGTCATGACCTGGATTGTGCCTTTAAAAGTACACAGTGTTTTTGTGTTCTCTTCTTTTGCGCCATTGAAGAGGAGGTCGTGTGAGTTTAAAAGTTTTAAGCCCTACAATAACTGGGTGGGGGTGAAGTCTTATATACAGACCATGCATGACTGCAATTCAAGCACGAAGCCCTCTTTTAGCTTCTCCAAAGGGCAATTCCAGCCGATCTATAAAGGGTTGGGCAGCTCTGCGCAAAATAGAAAGCGTGGAGGACTGACAGCATATGTGATCCCCCTGAACAAATGTGTTTCACACACAAGAGAGACACCCCTGCCTCTAGTTACATCGCTGGCAGCGGACAACAATTCTCAGCTTCTCTTTCCAGAGTTATTATTGGCTGCGGTTGCTGCTGCTGTTTGCAAAAGAGAGTTTGGCAGCTCCCCTCGTGTCCTTGTTCAAAAAAGGACAGTTGGTGTGTTGGACAGAACATTGTACGAGAGAAAACGGAGAAGGCGGGGGGGGGCGCGACGAGGTTCCCGGGGGCAGGAGGGGAACCTCGCCCTTTTTTTTCTCCCCGCCCGCTCCTGAGGCGAGATTATCAGGAGAGAGGACGAGAAACAGTTATAGGGCACAGAGGCAAGCGCGGGATTAGGCGGGAAAGGAGCGCTGTGGAGGATAGCCCCTGAGCATCCGGTGGCGCGGCGTCTCTCTGTCTCTCGCTGTTGAGGCGACGGCGGGGGGTGAGGGTGAGGGGTGGGGATTTCTCTCCTCTCTCCGCCGTGAGGCGCCCAGAACGGCAAGTTCGCCGCGAGGGGGATACGGAGGGGAAGTTGCGGCTGCTCCAGGCAGGCAGGCAGCGCGACCAGGGGGGAGAGAGAGAGAGGGAAGGGAGCCTGCCGCGCCATGGAGGGGAGCCCCATCCCGGTGCTCACCGTGCAGACGGCCCCGTTTGAGGACCAGCGGCCGACGGGCGGCGGGGGGCTGAGGAGGCCCACGGCAGTCTTCGAGAGCCAGCGCAACTACCTGCCCAACTTCGTGCAGAGCGTGCTCTCGTCCATCGACCTGCGCGATCGCCAGGGCTGCACCATGGTGGTGGGCAGCGACGGGCGGTATTTCAGCAAGACGGCCATCGAGGTGGTGGTGCAGATGGCGGCGGCGAACGGGGTAAGGGCGGCACCTCTCTCTGCGCGCCTCTCCGCTCAACCTTTCAGCGCGTATCCGTTACTGAAACGCCCAAGGCCCGGGTGGGTTGCTTGGTCACCTTCCCAACGGATGATTATGATGCGTGTGTGTGTGTGGACGGGGGAGATTTCCACTTCAACTCCTGTAGAAATGGTTCCTTCCAGACCAGGAGGTGGTGGTTAGTGCGAATTCAGAAGTGGCATGGTTTTTGTTGTGCTTCTATGTGGCTCTTGCTGTTTCCAGGCTAATTTTGGGCACCCTTTACTCCTTATAGCTGACAGGATAGCTCAGTTAGGTATCTGGTTGCGGAGCCAGAGGCTGGGAGTTCAGTTCCCGCTGTGCATCCTAAAAGTGTGGCCTCGGGCACACTGCGCAATCCCAGGACGACTCTGAAGAAGGGAATGGCAAACCACTTGTCAGTGTTGTCGACCTAGAAAACCCAGAAAAGAGTCAAAGTAAATCAGAATTGACCTACTACTACTACTACTACTACTACTACTA